CCTCGACGGTATCCTCGACGGTATCTTCGACGGTATCCTCGACGGTATCCTCGACGGTATCCTCGACGGTATCCTCAACGGCCTCCTCCGGCGGCAACGCGTTTAAGAACGCGTCCACGTTGATCAAAACCTTTTTCGGTTTGACGAACAACAGTTCCTACAACGCGCGTGGTTATTATTGTGATCAAATCGTTGTCGTTACATCACCGTTTTCGCACTAACCCTGGCCAATCCGGTCGGTGGCTCCACGGGATACTTGATGTAATCCATGAAGTCCACCATGTCCGCGTAGTTCACGGAGCCCAGCTCGGCGTCGGTAAACCTTCGGAAGGGAAAACCGTGTGATTCTTGTGTCGTCAACGTGCTCGCGCGCATTTCAACAATACGGACGAAACGCAACGGTCAGATGCGATTACGCGTATTACGGAAAACGAAAACGATCGAGGAGGAATAACGCGCGCCCTTGATTTCGAACCGAACGATTCACCAACCGTTTAATATCCGAACCTGGATCACGATCCACAGACGTTTTATTCGATCTTTTCTCGCATCGATATTTTTGTACCGATCACCTATCGGTGTATCGATTATTTATTTATTTTTTTTCAAATTATTCCCGTACGTTTATGCAACTGAACCACGTTTCGTTTTTGTCGAATGAATGCAAAACCGTCAGAAGTACCTACACTTTCGATGACAATGAGAACAGTCGCGTTCGTGTTTACGAAAAAAAAAATACAGATTACAGGCAGTGGACTATTACGAATGACGTGCACATGGATGATAATTTCATAACCATTATCGAAAACTAAATGTTGAGTACTGGGACATACCACAGTGACGGGTGGAAAATAAAAATAGAGTTGATAACGAAAAACAATAATTACGGGAGAAAAACAGCTCGACCAGATTGTACGCAAATGAAACTAAACATTTCGAAAAGTTTGAGTATCGAACACGAACTGATTAAAATAAAAAATAAAAAAAATAATTACCGAACAAAAATGGTTTAACTTGACATAAAAACGTCGATAGTACAATTGACAACAGTTGGTGATTGTTATAAATAGTGGGTAATATTCAAATCCACTTTGGTATGTGTTTTTTTTAAAAAAAAAAAAAAATACCACAGATTAAAAAATGACACTTGCGTAGTATAATTTTCAGTGATAATAAAAATAATAAAATAGAGAAGTTCGATACCGAAACCCCGGTAGTAATAACAATTTATATTACATGTATTGAGAGCAAAATACAAATATTATAATACTTGTTTTTTCGCATTCGTTTGTTTTTTATTTGATATTATCAAACGATGTTTCGACGAAGTGATAAAATCAAAAGTCAACCAAATTTTGATTTCCGTTTACGTAATGTAACGTGTTAGGTCGCGTGCACATTTGAGAGCGATGCGCGGTGAGCGGTGAGCGATGAGCGTTGAGCGTTGAGCGGTGAGCGATGAAGTGTGTACACTAAACAGCACGTGATGAGCGTTGTTTACAACATTATTTTATTTTAGTGTAGTGACTTAGAGCACCATGGCTCTAAGGTCGGAAGTTCGTCGTATATTATTGTTCGAAAATTCATTTTTACGAAGACTACGCCTCTTAACTAAAAATAAAAAAAGAATAGGTGTTCACGAAATGAATAAAAACGAAATGTTCTAGGCAAGATCCATCATGTATATGAAGAATTAAGACTTGATCGAGAGAGATTTTTCAAATTTTCACGTATGTCAATAGAAACTTTTGATTTTCTTCAATCTAAAGTACAATTCAAATTAACAAAGCCGGTGACAAATTTCAAAAAATTTCAAAATGTCTGCAGCTGAGAGACTTTATGTCACTCTAAGGTAAACCATTAAATATGATTTTGTTTTAATTATTATATTATTATATAGGTAGGTATTCAGTATAAAAATTTAAATTGTTTTTACTAAACATTTTCCTTTAAATATTTTATAAAAAGCAACATTGTGTTCATAAAATCTGTATTTATAAAACAACTGTATTAAGACTTCTAAGGTTTAAAAAATAAACAAAAACAAATAACTTTAATTTTGCTGTAATGTGCGAACAAAGGCAAATTAAAAAAAAAATAACTTTAATAAAAAAAAAAACATAATAATATAATATTACCTATTCCTAACTGGAAAATATACAACAATTTCATCCCACAATTTATTGTTTTTTCAGATTTTTTATAATCGGGATGTCATTCCATAAAGATGTTCTTCCCTGCACTTCTTATATGAGAAGTACTCAACTTGCATTTTTAAAATGTACTTTTTGAGAGCACATGATGTTTTATAAAATACCAATGCAAAATATAAATACAACGCTCACAATTCAAGTCGTCTTGAAAAATAAACAACGCATCGCTAACGCTGAACGCCCGAGATCAGTGTACACAATTCCGATAAAATTACCGTGGTTGATTTATTTTTGTCAACGCCCGTCGCTTATCGCCCACCGCTCACCGCGCAACGCTATCCAATGTGCACGCGACCTTACACATCTCGCTGAAGTATTGATAGTTGGATTTGATACTCAAAAGGGAAAAGCTTATCATTTTCAGAATACTTTTACCAAACTTTCAGCGCTTACCTGTTAAGAAGCTTATTGGTTATCTCCCATGACAATGGCACTTTGTTGCTTTTCATCCCTTTGATAGATTCTTCGCGTCCGACGAATTCCCCTCGGTCGGTAATGGATTTCCTAATTCTGAGGTTACTCTTCAAACCGTCAAAGTGTATGAACATGGCCCTCCTCAGAGTGTCCTGTACAACACTTTTAAACGTGTCATCCGAATAAGGTTCAAACGGATCCGGACGCTTATGTGTTAACGACAACACAACTCCAATGTGAGGATCTAGTGCGCCTTCGAAGCTCACGATCTTCCTGAACTCGTCTCTTTCCACCCACGCTCTTTCTTGAAAATTTTTCGTCCGAAATTCTTCCAGACTCGAGAATTCTTTGGCAATCGCTTTGCGTACTTTTTTATTTGCGGTTTCCAAACAGCTATGTGGGAACTGCGAAAAATGTTTTTTTTTTAAAACTCTCTCGGATCGGTTCGTATATAAGTATTTACTTCTTTGGGATGATTAATCATGAATCTCAGTGATTTATCGTCTACATCGGTTATTTTAAACTCAAACTCGTCGAAAAATATGGTAGCTCCAACATATAACTGATGGAATACGAACAATTTGTTTTTGTCTTGTTTTTTGCTAAACTTTCGTCTATATCGAAACATTCCACCGCGTATTCCTACGCGAAACATAAACATATTAACAGGTTGATGATAACCAAAAATAATAATACTACACGACAACGGTTTTATAAATTTAATTTTAATCGTTATTGCTATCTCGCGGTGTTAATAAATAATATATATATTTTTTAATTGAAACGCACACATTTGTCAAAAGTCGATGTACGGTTATGAGTTATTGATTTTAATTTTTGTGATAACTGTAAATAAAAACGTTTGAACTTACCAGAATTGCTATGTCTAACTTCATACACACCAAATTTAGTATCGTCCAAATAGTATTTGAGCAAAAAATCTCTTTGTTGATTAATTGGATCGTCAGTTACCATTTGAATGCAGAATACGAATATTATACCGGTTCCTTCTTGGCTAATTAATTTTTTCCGTAAAACTTCATCATAGTTTTTAAGAATTATTTCCATCCTTTTTGCATTCAACTGGTCTTCTCTGATTTCCCTTAATGTTTTTGGTCTGTCTACTGGATCGAAATTACCTAAATAACATATAAGTTATTGACATAATACACAGATACTGGCAAAACATTTCTAGTTTAGTAGACGTAAACTATCGTTTACATAGAGAGTTGAAGGATTTTTTTTGTCAACACGTGTGCTAACAATTAACTACCAATATACATGTACTTCTACTAAGGTATAAAGTGTGATCTAATTCATAAGTGTGCGCAGATCTCTTTTTGGTGATATGCAAAAGGCTGCCACTGCCTACCTACGCCAAAACCGAAAGTTAATTTAAGCGTTCAAAATTCTGATTAAATTATTCACGCAAATGTCTAAATAACTGTTTAGTTTAAAATGTTAATTTTTCTTCCAAAAAAACAACTGAATAGTCATTTCTTAATTGTGATAACTATCTTTATAGTTAAAATTTAAAATAAATTACGAAAAAAAATTAAAATACATAACACTTGAAATAGTTTGAGTAATATATTTAAATAGGGTAAATAAATAAAAACATAATTATATATTTAAATAAAAAACAAAATCAATTTGATAAATAATCAAAATTAATCGTAAAACTTAATATCACCAATAATGACTTCGGGATTTTAATTTATAGCCATTTCTTGTTCTGTAGTTGAAAGCTATTTAATATCTCTTGAATCATTGTACTTTTTAATTTCATTAACACATTAAATCGTTATTATAGCATATAATTTATGTTTCAAAAATAAATTAAAATGTCTTTGACTGAATATAAAAATATAATAAAATTATAATATAACACAAAATCACATAATATACTTAAGACCAAATATGTAATAATTTTTATTTATTTTTTGTTATTTTAAGAACAAGGCTCTGTGTTTAAGGTATGCAGTTGCATACCTGCGTGACCCATGCACGCGCCTATGATCTAATCTATTTAATCTACGATCGATTGGTTAGAATTAATTAAACGTTTTCCAATAAATTAAATGACGAATCAACGTGATCTTGACGCTTCTGATAAAGGCGATATTTTAAATATTCGTTATAAACTCGAGCATTGCATAAGTTAGCTTGTAGCTGTTTACGATAAATGATGTACGTACTGTGAAGTAAGCGTTATTTTAATCCCGCAAATATAATTGAAATCGGTTAACACAAGCACTCGTTTTGTTTCTTACACCCTTAGAGATAATAAAATTGTTTATTACATAATTTTACTCACTTAATCCATAGTTGATTCTATAATACGTCTGGGTAAACTCATCACATTTTACCAAAACAATGCGTCGATTAAACACGTTTAAGGTCGCTCCGATATACAAATCTGTGCATTTGTAATACGGCTCGCTGTCTCCTTCCAACGGCAGACTATCCATTTTGTAATATCCATTTTGGCTTTCTTTTTTCGTTATGATATTTAATATTCCTTGTTTTTGATCATGGCCTGGATATTTACTCCACGGACTTTTCTAGGTATTTAATAAGTGTTTATCAATATTAAGTGCACATAGTTACAGTGAGACATTTCAAAGCATTTACTTTTTATCAAATATAGTCATTAAATGAATTAATACCTATGGGTACTTGAAAATAAAAATGAATCAAATGTACATCGTAAAACTTTTCGCTTGTACAAAAAGTGAAGTCCTGAGAACTCACAGTGTGGTGAATTATTAAAAAGATAACCAGACAAGATCGAACCGTGAAACGACAAAAACGTTTATCCAAACTCGTTCTACTCACTTTCGGTAATTTTTGTCTGTTCACAAACTTTCTATGACGTATTTTACCAGTTGTGTCATCGATCAACTCTTCCGACATCTCTATTGTGTCGTCTACGAGATGGTACAGCACATCGAAAAAATGCAATTCGCCGTCCATTTCATACCGATCGTCCCAATAGGCGCCGAACCGCAAGACAAAATCTTTGTAACTCTTCTGCGGCCGACTACGCTTCAGATTCGGTCTACACTTGAACGTGTAATCCAGGTTGGTCTGCGAAATAGAGAAAAAAAAGCAGTTCGTTGCGCCCAATTAATCTCGTGTCGGTGTTATCGTACGCGAATAGTACACCGATCGAAAGGATTCCTAAATCTAGTAACATTCCGGATGTGAGGTAGGTCGTAATTGTGTAGAATAAACGGGACGTTACTTTTTTCCGGAAATTAAAATACGGATCGTCGGGAATGGGTTCGTTGTCCTGCACGTCGACGCCCATTTTGACCAGAAAGTCCCTGGTGAACGCGTCGACGCCTGTGATCCTCAGCTCTTTTCCATAAAAAACCACCGAACCTCCGACAACCAGATCGAGTAACCTGTAATAGGGTCCTGTATCTCGGTCGCAACCGGGTAACGGTATTCTTTGTTTCTTGATCAAACAGCCTAGTACATATGATAAATATACAAATATTAGTACGTACGTAACGCGCGAGAGCGTGGACGAGCGTAATTTTGTGTACTTGAAACAATTTATGCACGAGATCGGGATAAGAATAATCTTACGGCAGGGATGGCATATTCGTGGAACGCAAAACAATTTTGAGACCACGCGAAATATTAAAATATTTTTATCTTAAATAACATCACTATGTTTGTACTTTTCACTGTTGTTGACGTCTTTCAGAAAATTAAATTGTTGGTTCGTTAAGAGCGTAGAAAACATACTAAACGTAACATGATTCAATGTATTAGCATATGCAATTATGTTTAATTTTTCTTCGACTTATACATGTGCGTCGCTATTTTCAAAAATTAATTTTTTTTAAATATTCATTAAATGTCACAAATTGTAAATCGAGTATCGACGAATTGGCAATTCAACAAAAAGAATCACATCGAGATGATGAATAATTACCAAAGTAATGTAACTATATATTTATTTAAATATTACATTTTTCTATATTAATACTTAAACAATAAATCTTTTATTATAATGTACAAACAAACAATTTTTTTTACAAAATTTATTGGCACACTCGAAAAAAAAAAGGTTATTTTTGGCACGTAGCTTCAATATAAATATTGCCACCCCTGCCATACGGTTAAAAAAAATCTGCTGCAGTCGTACGGACCGGTTTTCGGGATGGTATCTCATGGATTATTGTACCGCCGCCGTTAAAACTTTCGTAATAAACAGTATTTTTAATCCAATAGCGTCGGTACAATAATCGTGTTCGATTCTTTCCCGCTAACCTATCACCGACTCTATATCCCGTCATAGAATAAAAAAAAAAAAAAAAAATCGTTCAACCTTGCGGCGAGCCACTGTTGTTCTTTAGCGGTTCGTTCACTTGAATCGTTTCGTCCACCAAGAAATAAATGATCTTCATCTCTCGTATGTCGTATTCCATTTTCGAGGCAACCCTCGACGTATCTTTGTAGTAAGCGTCAAAAGTCAGTACCTGTACACATCACACACACACACGCGCGTTCCGTTCGTTACATACATGTATACTCGACGACGTGTTGCACGTTTTTTTTTTTAAATATTTTCATTTTTTTTTTTTTCATCGACTTATTTATATTCATTTTTCGGCCGAATCGTGAAAAATTGATTTCGACGTCTATGATGTGTGGATTTATTTGGCCAGAAATAGTTTTCTAGTTCACTGACCAAACACGGCCGTTGCGCGCGGTTGAAAACACGGACCGAAACCGATGGGAAAATAATCGTACCTGCGTATAACGCTCGTACCATCCCCGTCGGAACACGGACCCTTGAGGTACGGTTTCGCGACGAAATCGAATCTCGCACCGCTGCGACACAAACGAACTGTGTCCATTCGTGCGTCGATTTGTCGGATGAAGATGATATGAAGAGCTAACCTTATGTTGACCGGCGGCGGTGCGTTACCGATAACGATCGAAATTCGAGAACGTTCAGAAATCATTACGGTTTGGTAAACGGGCAGGTACGTTTACCATTTATTATCGTGTACCCGTGCGTCATAGTAAACTGCTGTAACCTACCGTAGTGCTATCTCACTATCTGGTCCGTCAATCTGCCGGGTTGAATACGTTTCGCAGTAAACAATAAATTATTTTAATGCGCACGAACAAAATATTCAATTACAATAAACACGACAGTTTTTCTTATTTTTTCCGCTTTGAAAATAAAAACCTCAGTAGTTCATCATTATTGCAGTCCGACCGAAACCAAAAATTTGTAATCGGTACGTTGCGCAGGCTTTTTTTCTCAAACACTAACTATAGAAATTCACCTGTTTTTCGTCAAATATCAACCAATTCTTCTTGTTGTAGACGAGTTGATCTTTAGCATGCATCACAGCAGCAACATCCGGATCGCAGAGCTGGTGCGATTTTTTCGTTTCGGGGCATTCTATGAACCTGATTCCTTCGATAATTTTCATCTCGGATCCGATCGGATACTTGTCTTTGATTTCCTATCAAGTTTAAAAATCATACACCTGATCATAATTTATTATTTTTTATTTTATTTTTTTTTTTTTTATGACCATTACATTTAACAAAATTCCAGGCAGCTGTTTTTAAAGATACGATTGTAAAAAATTAAACAAAAAAAATTAGTAAAGACGATCCTTTAAGAGTGCGCAATACAATTATATGTATTATGTAGCATAATTGAATGTATGCAAAAATGCAAGAGCAGCTGGGACTAACACAACAAAGGCCAATCCAAAGTTGTAAAACAAGATGGAATTCAGTGTATACGATGTTAGATCGTTTTTATGCTAATAGATGTGCTGTGACAAACGTGTTAGCTGATCGTAGTATAACAAATGTTAAATTAGCAAAAAATTTGGAAATTACGGAAAGTGATTGGACAAAAATGGAAATTTTGGTAATTTTATTAAAACCATTACAAGTTGTCACAACCATTTTTTGTGCCGAAACACATTCTCCGGTATCAATGGTTAGACCACTTTTTACAAAAGTGATTGAAAAACACTTACAGCTAAATGAAGATAATAATGAAGTTGTTGGAAATTTTAAATAGACAGTAGTATTGCAACTTAAAGAACGTTTTAAGATTAGAAATTTATCAAACATCGTATCTAAAAAACAAGTTTCATCATTTTTTGATCCAAGGTATATAAAATTAGAACATGAAGAAATAGAAGTGAGGGAAAATATTCGTTCCAAAATAAAAAATTAACTGGTTGAAATAAATACTCCGGATAACAAAGAGGATATTAACGTTTGTGTTCAAAAAAATAAGGGTGGACTTGAATTATTATATGGCGATGCAGTTCGTGACATCAATGATGCTTCGACACAATATTGTTGTTACCTAGCAGAACCACAACTGAGGTACGATTTTGATCCATTTGAATGGTGGATGTCACATGGAAAAAAATATCCTTTAGTAGCCGAGTTAGCAAGGAAATATATGTCAATACCAGCAACATCTGTAAGTTCAAAATGTTGTTTTTCGACTGCCGGGAATGTGGTTACAGCCAAAATGAACTGTTTAGCCCCAAAAATGTTAATACGTTAGTATTTTTGTATCAAAATTGTCAATTATTATTAAAAAACTGACAATTTTGATACAAAAATACTATTATTATTATTATTATTACTATTATTATTATAAAACATTAAATGTACACTTCTTCTTTCATAATTATACTATAAATATGTTTAATTATTATTTCATATTTTTGTTTCTTTATCATAAATTATTTATTATTTAGTTATCATAAAAAAAAAAAATGCTCTACAATTAATTTTTAATAATATTACTCATCCTTATATTCACCACTTATCATAACGTACGGACTCTAAATACACGTGTACACGTGTATTTTAATAACACGCACTTTAGCACAGTTTCTATAAAAACACGTACGGAACTTCTTAAATACATGTGAAATAGAGACAACTAATTTAAACAAAGTTTTATTTAACACGATACGTATAGTAATACAATATAGGAACTGAAAAATAAATTACAACATTATGTTATCGTTATTTTACTTACAATTATTTTAATAGAAAAAAAATCAATTTTGTACACCAGTCAATTCTTATGTTGAAATAAAAATTTAACTGTTTTATCAAAATAAATATAAACGAAAATCACAATAAACATAAGAAATATCTAAATTATTTATCCGTATTTATTTTATAGGGCGTTTGTAAATTGCGCCCACATTAAGTAGGTAGTAAAAATACTATAGTAAATTGCGTCCGGAATTTTTCGGGGTCTAAAATGGGTATGGTAAATTACGCCCATAATATCTACTATCTAAGTGACCTCGAATTCATCATTACCTGGTATTTTTAGAACCAGAAAATGTTTGCGATTATTCTATAAATTAATACCTACAATGCCTGAAGATAATCAACTTAGACAATTTTCTTACTATATTTTAAACATATATATTTTATTCGCTGACTTTCCTCCGAATATTTGGGCATCAGCTTCCTCAACATTGATTCGGACAACTAATTCTTGTGAATCTTTCCACAGTCATTTTAATAAAAGCTTTTATACACCTCATCCTCATATTTATAATTTTATGGATAAAATATTAGAGTTACAATATACAATTTATATAAAAATTAATAGTATAAATGAACCTTATAAATTTCAAAACACCAAATTATTCAACAATACAATGAAAACACTATTATGAAGGTTGAATATGTGAAGATGATGTCTTATTACTGTGCAGATAACTTATAACTGTATTTTTTATTATTAACATTTTTAACCTAACAAAAAATATTAAAAAAAAAAAACTATAATTAATACCATAATATTTAAAAAAAAATAAATAAATTTTCCTATTTTTATGTGAATTATAAATATGTGAAGATGATGTATTATTACTATGCAGATAACTTATAACTGTATTTTTTTTTTATTAAAATTTTTAACCTAACAAAAAAAATTAAAAAAAAACTATACCTAATTAATACCATAATATTAAAAAAAAAATGATTTTCGTATTTTTATTAATTAATTTATTCATCTCAAGTAAAGTAAAAAAACATTTTTGGAGGACAGCCATAGTCGCCTCCTCGTGGTGTCCTCTAGGTAATGCTAAATGACTATCACAAAAATAATATTTCTATTGGACGCAATTTACTACTCGTATATAGAAATTTGTACCTAAAAAATACAGAGCGCAATTTACTACACAAAACTTTATACCTGAAAAATACCGGGCACAATATACAATTGTTTCCCTTCATTGGGCGCAATTTACGTTTGCCCATTTTTTACTTAGTTTTTGAGAAACCTACTACAAAATAAATTAAAAAAAAAAAATGACACCTGTGTCTAATTAACAAGAAAAATATTACTAGTGTTATAGATTTACAAGCGACAAACCTTCTATACACTTTTGACACCTGCAGAAAAAGTTTTTGCAGCAACTCACATTTAAAAAATTTAAATCAACTCCCGAGGAACTTTGCACAAAATTAAATAAAACAATCATCTTATAGTATTTCAACTTTCACACTTTAAAACCATTTTTTTTTTAATTCGATGATAATATTGATTATAAAATTCAATAACTGTTCATAATTTATAAATGTTTTTCACTCAAATTTGCAAACCAACAACGATATTTTTCAAGCGAGATATCCTTTTTTAGATCGAATAACCCTAATCGCTTCATGAGTGGTAAAAAATCCCAAAAGCTTCACGTAATACAAGTAGAACAATTCACCGCAGTTATTCAAAATATTTTAAAAAAAATCATAAAACAACATATCCAACCACTTTCAATGTAATCTGTTGACATACAAAGCTCTGTTCACCGATTCATTTTTACAGTGCTATACATTCATTATTCGTCGAGGTGAACTTAACTAGACGAGTGACCAACAAAGGAATCACCAGTCGGACAAGTTTCTTTTAAAACACATTAATTGTAAGTAATTTCTTGCAGTGCTGAATTCGGATTAATAATATAAATTAAAAAAAAAAAAAATGAGTTGCTCGGACGTCTTTTATATTTAATAATGTCACCACCTGTAAGAGGATCGATAATAATCGAATGATCAAGTTGAAACATAATACTTATAGAGGAAGGTAGGTGTGCTGCATTCGTGATAGAGCCGATCGTCATTGTACAGAAATGAATGGATCCGACCGCGAAAGACTATTTATTCGAAAACTTAAAACGCTTATGTTATTCTCGTCAAACGTTCAGAAATGAAGACGTTCAATCGGAATCGGAGTGACGTTTTGGATTTTCGAACGGTGAACGGGTGGACCTGAAACGCGTGTTCGCCACAGTGCAAACAGTGCAGTCGTCACAGGGTGGATCTAAAAAAAAAAAAAAAAAACGGTTCGCCTAACCGACGCTGGTCCGCCGAACACGGGCACAGTGGTCTTCGGACCGGAAGCGGAAACACCGAAGCGGTGACAAAGACTTTTTTCGGACGAAATTCGCACGCGAACGTACAGGCATACGCATCGTTTTATACAACGCCGACGTGTCGCGTACATTACATACACTGTTATGGTCTGTGGCCTTCGGTCGTTACTCTCTGCCGAGAGAGGCGTTTCGTCGGTGCATGTACTGTACCCGTACATATTTACGGTGAACCGAAATGACTGGCAAACGGCGGAGCCATGAAAATTCGCGTTATGCACCGTCGTCGCGCATAAAACATGAATTATACCGCAAACCGCATACCTACACAATATGTATTTACGTATATATATGAGAAAATCACGTGCTCTGTGTTGGTCCGGGAATTTTCTTCTGTAGATCCCCTTCCCTCCCACAACCCGCACTTAATGGATTGAAAATCGATTTGTTCGACGTTTGATCCGCACACACATATTACTGTCGACCGTGCTTGCGCCGCGCGGACGCGTTCACCACGTGGGAAATAAACGTAATAACACGGTGTGTATCGTACAATCGAAATCAAACAGCGAATCCCAGTCCCGGAGACGCGGCGGATGGTAATTCGATTGTATCAATTATTATTATTATTAATACAATTATACAATTATTATCTGTCGTTGCCGTTTCGGACCGTATCGTCGCGTGTGGTAGGCGCTCGTACGTTTCCGAAAAAACAGCCACGACACGGTCACCGTGTCCGGGTCACGTTTCGCAGGCATTTTTTTCTTTTTCGTTCGTCCGTACGGAACACCCGAGGAAAACGTCGAACCCTCGGGCAAAGGTCGCTCGCCGTTCAGTTCAGACGCGCGGTACGTGCTCATCGTTAAGGATTATTGAACACTGCAACGTCTAACGCGACTTGCGACTCCCGTTCTAACGGTTCCCGGGAAAATCGGTCTGTACGGGGGCGGGGGGGGGGGGGGAAACAATGGTCACGACAAGTGAAAAAAAACCTTACCATATAGGACTGGTGGATACCGGGTATCATCGGCAACCGCGATTCGTGTCGCGCCATTTTGAAGGTCGATTCCTTTTTGTCCGTATTCGGGTGACCTGTGCGCGAGATCGTGCTCTGTAACGGCGGGGGCGGACTGTCGTCAAAACGTCACCACAGCTTGAAAATTTCACCTCACGTTATCGTTATATGATGTTATTTCGTTCTCCGCACATTATTTCGCCTAGGAAAGACGAGAATGTGTCCGTATCCGAGGCAACGAGTTCGGTTGTTTCGAGCGCACGTTAACGACGCCCCAGGCCGACAAACAACCCGGTCGTCCGCGACCGCATCGTTAAACAACGATTTCCATGGTGATCTCGGCGAGTTTTCCTGATGCCACCCGCAACGACCCCCGTGCACACTCGTGCCGGTTTATAAGTATTATTGTTGTTATTGCTGGTATTACGACGGTTTTCGGGTACCGTAACTCGACACGTTGTTAATCGCCGATAATACCACAATGCACTGCACGTCCGATTTGTCGAGAACGTGTTGCTCCCGACAAAAAAATCATTTCCTTATATACTCGTATTAAATGTTGTCGTGCCGTTCGCCAAACAATCATCAGCTGCGTCTTCGCGCACAACTGCAGTCTCGAGTCCCAACAGGCAAAAAGCGTTCGAAACTAAAATGCATAGGTATATTTTTATCAGTCACTATCAGTGCCGAACAAGTTGTTCGACCAGAAGAATACGGCGTAATAATAATAATTAATAATTATTAATAATAATAATCAAGGCTTATTGTTAAACGCGATCAATTTTCGAGCATAATGCTCAATCCGGGGCGAAACAAGTTATAGTTCAGAATTGATAATATTTTGTCACTCCACTGAAAATATAATCGTATTCAATGTCGATGTACTTCTTATTTTTAGACAAAATCGTATTGCAATCAATTATTGAATCGTATCAATTGTAATTTAGCTACAAACAATAATCATAACTGTAATACTGTAAAATTAAATAAATTAACTCATTATTAGTATTTCAAAAATGTACACCCGATTAGGACGATAATCGAGGTGACGAGAAATAAGCAGTCGACGTAGTAGCTTGAACCGTTTGTACATATAATTTATACTTATACACGACATTTAAATGTTACACGTCCATAGTGACCAAAACGGAATTTTTGCTTTTGGCAAAACGTGCATATATTTTTTTACGCGCAAACCATTTTCGGTAGTAGCGGAGAAAATAAAATAAAAAAAACTATAAGCCAAAATATTTTAGAAAAAAATAACGGTTCAACGTGTTATGGTACGCTCTCACGTAAAATCGCATAATAAAAGCCATCAAAATCAAGTTGCTGCCGACGAACGTGGTTCTTACCAGACGGTTTACAATAGTAACTGAGGAAATTGCAGTTTCGTACTTCAATTTGATAACATAAATAAGTTACGGGATACAATGCCGAAAAATATATATACTGCTATACACAGCGTTTACGGATGGGAAAAAAGTAAATTAGTTAAACGTGTAACATTATTCTAATTTCGTGTATTTCTCGTTTTTCGTTTCGCAACAATGCAAATTATCCTATTAACTATCAGAACGAACACGGTTTCCAGGAATCCGCTTGCTCGTCCGCAACAATAATAGCTGCTCGCTCGCCCATTCGACGGCAAGACACTCCATTACGAGAATACGACGTACCTTTACACATTATATATTTAGGCGCACGCGCGCACACAATAGGTATTGGTTTTGAATCCGCGAACGTTACTGTTTTATGCCCAACATCATTGTTGATCGGACGAACAGGAGCTAGTGGTTCACGTAGAGAACTACGTGATCTGCGTTGCCGAACTACCGCGAATTCGAATAAAAACGATAAGGCGTTGTACGCGTACACAGCGACGTACATACCTCCCCCAGGGCCAAAAAAATAGAAAAGAAAATTGTTTTATTATTGATGACGTGTAATACATTCGTAGATTTACTATCACTCCTTGAACTTAAAATACACGACTACACGAATATTGTAATAATTAAATAATTGTATTGATAGGTGTTCGATAAGTTTTGTTAACCGTACTGTTTTTATACTCCTATAGCTACTAATTTACTGTAATGTAAGAGTAAACTGTAAATTGGTAAAAAAAAGTTGTAGAAAATAATATCTATTTATAGCAGTTATTTATCTGTGCAACGAAAAAAAAAATATATAACGATTATTTTTGTTAACCCCCCCCCTCCGAGCAAGATTGAATGTACGCAACTGCGCGTGCACATTCATATCGCACGATAACAATATTAACGCAATATGATTATTGTTGGTATTATAAACCGTCGTTTATCCGCAGCGTTAGCGCAAAACGCGTTAAGGATAATGACCTACGAAATTTTAATTGTCCGTAATTTTGACGTGCACCTCCGTCACTCGAACGCACGCGCGTAGCGCGGCGCACGGACATTGAACAAAAAAAAAAAAAAAAACATTAGGAACGCAAATTAAAATCGGCGGTCCGGTCTGATGGTCTCCGAACGAACGGGTGCGCCCGTTATGAAACACGTCCGGAAAACGCGTACCGACTCGTACATTTCTCGAGATCGCAGTAGATATGCCCGCTCGCGTGTCCGTGTGAGCCTGCACTCGACTCCGCCACGTCCTCCGATTAAAACGACGGAGAAAATCAAATCGAAAGCCGACATTCGCCGTGGGTACGACGGGCACGTAGATCGCAACGGTCGAAAGGAGAACGAAATGTTCTCGCGGTGGTAGGCACGAGGTTAGCTGCCGGCTAGTGGTATACGCGCGGCTAATTAAAACGTGTTATTTTGTTCGTCCACGACCGGGGCCCCGGACTGGGCGCTGACGGGATACCGGGAGATTCCCGGTGGCCCGCTTGTTTGGATTACGCCACTTTTACCGGTTCGGAAGTAATTTTTTTTCAAGTCTACCGGCTCGTCTTGTCGACAGATTCAATAATAATATTAATCGTTCTAATTCTTAAAATAATACACAATAATTTTATACGAAAATGTTCGTTTTTTTTTTTTAGGGTCGTTCTCTTGCATCTGTCGGACGACCGTTCGTTTTTAAACATCTCCACTTGTCGTCGAAAAACCCCACTGACGATATCCCATTATTGTCTTGTTTCGTTCCAACGCGCGCGTAGGTACCATAACATGACACGTTCATTATCGTTACATTGTCCTTTGTGCGTACATATCTCGTATATGTTCGTAACGTAAGCGATTCATTTTATTGACCGTTCACGTGGGCTTAGAGTTCTCGACGATAAACGAAAAAAAGTGAACGTGCGCGCCCGTACGCAACGTGTACATCTTGAAGATTTGAACGCAAGTGATTCGGACAAATACTTTTACGTCCGAAAAACTATCGCGTTTCGGAAACCCGTACACGGAGATTAACCGATTTGATGTACGTTCGTTTGTAACGAGGTCGGTGAACTGATTATCATTGTGAAACGAAATCAAATCAAACGGATCGATTACCGACGTTTGTACGTTTTATACGTTTTCAATTTTACACGCATTGCCTTCCGTCGCATGCCGGTAGACGTGTACAATGTTTTCCGTGGTACACGTGATTTTCTAAAACCATTAAATACAATGCAGTATACGATTATACGACCGTATGTTATACCGACAAACCGTGATACGTGTTACAGGTAAAATATAATGCCCTACCACCGATGATTGCCACCAAGACTCTCGACAGGGTCTTTTATATGATTTAACGGACAAAGAGCATTAGCTTAGTAAATGATAAATAATCCAATCAAATGTAAATTAAATGATTATGCTTATGATAATGTCTAATAAATAAAATGTTCTTGATAAAGGGAAATTTGTCATTAAAATAATACGTTCAATTGATATTTTGTCGTTTGTAAACCTAATCAACAATAAACGCGAAATATAATACCTGTAAAAAATGACCCCGATTAATCGTACAAAATAGCACTTATAATCTTGGTAATATAATATAATACAAATCATTATGATCCTGTTAGGTATAGTCATATAAATAATAAATAATATAATTGATGTAATAACAGCTACGTTATTATTTTTTTTTTTTTTTTTATAACCATCTTTACGGTGTCGTATAGCAATATTTATTTTATAACTATTTTCATCCTTTTAAAAAGTATAAATATAATAATTTTCCGTAAGTTTTATTTATTTTATAATACAGTATTACTACATTGAATGAAGATGCAATTTTATAGTTGCAGTTAAACCCAATCCGTAAAAAAAATTAAACTTCAAAACTGTATAAAAAACATGTTTTTAATCTTGTATAGAAATAAATAAAAATATTTCCATGGCACTAATTTGTAACTCATGCATTAGGAAACAGTTATAAAAATTATTGTTGATTTATTTGTGGGAAAAAATAATTGAATTGTAGATACTTAATGAGCACAATAAAACGATATGGTAAAATTAGTAGTTGGTTATTATTTATGGTTTTCAATAAATATGGATTAAATTTTTTATGACGCTGCATTTATACTATACATAGGAAAAATTCAAATATTAATATGTTAGAATTTTTTTACCTTCAACAAGTCTAAAAATCAAGTTTTAATATTTTAATAAAACTAAAAATAATACAGGTATTAAATTAACTCTGTATAATACACAAGGGCATTTTTAAAAATAAATAAACCGATAAAATAAAAAAAAACACGAACAATTTTGTTTTTTTTGTTAATCTCTCCGGTACTTAAAGCATGCTACTATTTATTATGTATAACGTACATGTGTTACCCATTAAATCCTGAAATGGAAAAACCATTAAGTTTCTACGAGTCTTGGTCAAAAAACCCTAATTTTGCTTTTTGTCAACGCATTATAAATTATAGCATCAATGTGTTTAGAATATTGCAAACATATTACATGAAGTATTATAGAAATATGCGTAACGTATATTATCTTTAAACTCCGCAATAAACTTCGCAAGCCTTTTCGATGTTCCTTTTAACACTGCCCTCTGCCTATTTAAGTATTGAATTTCAATCATATTTTTATCTGTATGAAATATCACTCGCTTTTTTCCCCTAGTATCCGGCCTAACTATAGTTACGAAAACGTGTTATCGTAATATTATTATCTTGCATAGTAATAATTATTACTTACACACCTAAATTGTTACTCGTTTCGGTCACGGCTTTTATTGACTATAACGTAGATAGACGATACCGTACTTCAATTGGGCAAAACCAATGGGCATTAATTTGTTTTTACAAAACCGGTGTAAGAATATTATACACTCGTAAAATTGTTCAGGTATAAGACACAATTCAAATCGTTTAATGATATTACTTATATTCATTTAACGTACCTTGCAAAACACAAAGTGTCTTATAGTTTTATTTTTTATTTAAATAGTAAAAATATAAATTATTAAACAATTATTATGTTTTAGAATAAGATATACTGCATTTACAATCGAATTCGAAGTTATAATAATAAATAATATTTTACTTTTATAATTTTATTAAAAAGTTAAAATAAATTAATAAAACTTTAAAATTTAACTAACAATAAACCATGTAGGTAAAATTAAAAAAAAAACGATACACTGGTTTAACTGGTCTAATACGTTTATTTTACTATATAATAAAATTGTTTTTAATCGAATAGGTGTATGATTTTAGTAACACAATTCGTACTAAAAAATAAACTATTGATTATTATATTTCAACTGTCTTCCACATCAGATATATTTTTTTTCTTTTTAATACAATACATACATTAGATAGATAATGTTAGGGCTGACTTGGACATTATTTAGGCTCGACGCAATAATGTTGGCGAGACACATTTAATTCTTATCTACCATATACAAAAACTGTATTAACATCTACATTACATAATACACCATGAGTTTATTTATTGAAAAATAATATATTATTTACAAAGTATTTAACTAATATATTAAAATATAGTGATAAATAAAACATATGGGTTATATTAATGAAGGTGATTTACACCGCATTTCAATCGGTCCTAAGATTAATTAATTAACGTATGTTTGCCGTTTACTTCAGTCACAAATAAGCTAAGTGTTCTTAAAAACCATAATTTCTATAGATTAAGTTTATGTTTCTCGAAAGAGGTATAATATAAAATAATAACCAATAGTTAAATATAATACTGTTTTTGAGTGTAAGTTTTTTCTATGTTATAAATTTGTAAACAGTGATAATCTGTCGCATTCCTAAAATGATTCTGAGCGAAGGTCAGTGTAAAATGTGTGTTGAATATAAGTATCATAAATAATAATTATAATTTGAATGTAGTGTATGTGTCTTGTACATTAACTTTTATACTTAGGTTAACTTAAAATCATACAAACATTAATAGGTATTTTTCGGATTCAATTGTTACATTATTATGTGAAACAATTAATTGTGAAACTGTTAGTGAATTAATAATTTTATTACCTAAAAGTTTGATCACAAACACCAATGGTATAAAATTATTAATATTCGTAAATTTTGTGAAAACTTTTAAAAATGCCTGAAAAAAAAAGTCAACTGTTGCAAAATTCGTGATTTTTATCTCTAGAAAAAATAGATGGGTACATACTAAAATCGAAATAAATATTTAAATGATTACATATAGGTTCTTTAACCTATTAATTAAAAACTATTAAACAATAGTTATCGATTAAAGAAATTAACTCTAGTAAATAAAATAATTGTACAAACATTTTATTTAAAATAATCACATTTTAGTAAAATTTAGAACTACAAATATATTAGTACCACGAGAAATTACTATTATTATAAATTAATATTACATTTATGTTTACTTGTATTTTTCACATTTTAATACAGCTATTATATGAACAGTAAATTATTTATATTTTTATAATATACCATATAATGTTTATACTTCGTGATTATATAATAATATATAGAACATTATTTATTGCTTCAGCTCTTAATATAATATGATAATAATGAAGTCACGTAGTATAACAAAATTATTGATGAATTATTGAAAAAAATATCTTATTATGTGTAAATGAAAGATGTGTTTGAAATTTCAAACTTATATATATATTCTAATTCTACATATTATATTGGGAATAGTATTTAATCTATATCAAGCGGTTAATTAATTTTTTATATGTATGAATCATTTATTTTAGTTTTGACTTTGTTTTATATGTGCGCAATAAGTGAATAACTATTTCATTGGTTAGTATTTTTCATAACAGACAGTTACTAACCTGTAAGTACCAGTTATCTAGTTACATATTCATTAAATAATAGTAAAGGTTAGAAACGAATTAATTAATTTTATTCCCATCATGCATTATTTATTTAAGTTTTGTCATAATATTTGTGTCTTTCTAAAACAATTGATGTTGTTTTTTTTAGAAAAAATGTATTTGTATTAGTTATATTTACCAATTCAATTTTCCTATACATATCATACAGCGCAGAAGCATTAGTTTGACTAGTTTAGGACAACAAACATTGAAATACCAGGTGTGGATTCAGAAATATTTTATGGGTAGGGTACACGAGAAGTTCTTAATAGGTATGTATAAGTCATAAAGTGGATAAGACAATAATAATAAATGCATAGAGCAATAACACTTTAACGAAAAAAATGTTTCGAGGTGGTTCGCCTCCTTTTCGCCCCCAATGGATTCCTGAACTCACCTGTAAAAGAATGATATCCATCTATTTGTACACATTGTATCGCTGTACACAAATAGTGAATTGGTTAAAATACACGCAGATACCGAGCGCATGCAATTTAGTCCCATAAAGTCTTCTCTTAACAATAAGATATTGCTCGCATGGGTTTCAGGTGCGACTATATGGCGAGGTAGCCTTAACAATATGTTTATTTTTTAAACTTATATTTGTACAGCGATATACCTGGGGATACATCGTTTATAGCCTATAAAGATTATGCCATGACATACCCAACACCATTTGACCGTATTCTACGTGTACAGTTTTTATCCTATTCTACGTTTTTGTTTGTTTCGTTATCATCATGCATCTTTGTGTTGTGAATTGTTTGAATGTTCGTCGACAAATTACGTCGGGAGTGTTTCAGAGTGACATTTATCCATGGGGATCGGCGATTTCGACGCATGCCCATTAAGTATACATGATTAATGAATTAACATTTTTTGTATTCTCGGAATGTAAAACATCATTAACCGGACAGAAAAAAAAAAAAATAACCAATATATTTCCACGATTAAAATCTCATAATACCCACGTGCCCACTTGTATTCTTCGACTCTGTGTCGCGGGTAAACATCGACGACGGCGATAATTACAATATAATTATACGTATTATAAAATGATGACAATAATAATAATGTTATGACGCGCATGGCGCGGAATGCGATTTAACAGTTCATGACGGCCATGCGACACGAAAGATATTGCGGTATTAGTGACCACCGGCGGCAGTACAACGCAACAACAGACCGTACACCGCGGGTGCTACGTGTTGTGCAGGTATCGCACACCGCGGATTTATTGTTTTGATCCTCCCCGAGCAATAGAGAAATAATACTCGCGCGGTCCCTGGCCAAAGGGAACGGAAACGGAGGAGGAACGGGGGGGGGAGGAGGAGGAAGCTGTGCGAGAAGAAGGAATACGGAACGAACACAGTCCAACGGGAACGGCGAAAAGTAAAACTCGTATCGTTTCGACGTTGCGACGGTGAATCGAAGAGAAAAAAAAAATATATAAAACAGTAACGATAAAACGTGTAACTCTCGTAGACGTGCGACATTCGATTGTTTATACGAACGGATCGAACCGGTCGAGCGGATTCGGTTCGGAGATACCGCGCGTATGGAGGATACCGTGCGAGCGTTCGTTTTACAGACGCGCGCGTGTACGTAAAAAGCGTATTATTATTATATCGGCAACGGTTATAATAATAATAATAATAATATAGGTAGACGGCGTCGGTGGGCAGACCGTACATAGCGGGTCGTCGTCGTCTTCGTTGCCAGCGCGCGAATGAAGGGGGCAACCGGTCTACCGGTGGGAGGAACGGGTGTTACGGCGGCGTACGGGGGGGGACGGACGGTATAACAGGACGGCGGTAACATTATATTATTATTACTATTATACGGCACACACGCACACACGGCAGGTACACGTATACCTGTTGCGCGCGTCCGTGCGCGAGTGTACGTCGCGTTGTCGAACGGGTTCGCGACCGAAACGTCGCGCATGCGCGCAACCGGTTACATCACGCCGACGGGTTTTCCCCTCCACCGACCCCCGCCGCAACGGCTTTATATTATTATTATTTTTTTCTTTTCTTTCGTTTTCCTCTGTTCGGTTTCTTCTTTTCCCATCGCCGCCCGACCGTAACGCCACCGCAGAAACCGTGATCTTGGCAGTGGCCGGTCTGGCACGCACGCACACGCACACGCACGTACACGCGCACACGCACGCACACACTCGCATACCGCCGTCGACGAGTTCCGCGCACCGGCGACTAGCCCCCGCGTCCCGCTACGCGCCCCCACCAACGCCGGGGACGCTCCGCCCTCGTTCGTACGCCACCGCTATTGTACCCGAACCCGACCGTCGCCGACTAGTGGACGACGACGTCGACGAGAGGGCCTTCGGGGGCAACCGCTTCGCGACCGAAGCCAGTTCTCGCTGTACCGTCGTCTGCTGTTGTTCGGCGTCACCCGTGTTTCGCGTGTCGTCGTCGCCGCCGTCGCCGCCTCCGCCATCGTAGTGATTCCACACGAACCTACTTTTTATCTCGTTTTTCGGCACCGGCTGTCGTCTTCATTGTTTTTAATATTCATTTTTTTTTTTTTTTGATTTCATTCCGTTTTGGTTTTGTTCCCGACCACATCGTTGCACGTTATTTTATTATGATTTCATCGTCGACACGGTGGACGTGTCGCCGTCCTACTTTGTACGCTCCGTATCGGCGCGGCTGATGTTGTAGCGCCCGAGCACCGTCGTCGCATTATTTGATTTTTAACGCGCGCGTCCGCGTCACGGTCCCATATTTTCCGGTCATCGCCACCGTACGTTCTGTTTTCACATTTGTGGCCATTAATACCGCCGTGGCAACCTCGAGATGCCGAAGACTTACAAGGTGCGAAACATGCTCATTGAGCTGCAAGGCAACTTGACCCAGTGCGAGAAACTAAACGTCGACTCTACTTCCGAGAAGGAAGTACTGAAAGTCCCGCTGAACATAAACAGCGATACTTCTTGCTCGCACGGTAAGCATACTATTGTTTTTTTATCATAATTACTATTATTCTTTTTCGGAATAACAACGAAGACGACGACTGTTTTTACATTCATAACATTCACATCACGGGAGGTGAATCATTGCCGGACTTTACGGGTATACTGAAAAGTGCGATTTCTTAAAAATTAACATTTATTTCGATTTATTCCGGTAGCCGATCGCACTGGCTACATTTTTTTATCCATTTTCTAGTCCGTTTTTTTTACATTTTTATTTGAATAAAATCTCTTCACACTTAATCATATATTGTTGTCGTCATGAGAAAAATAATTACTTAAAAATGTTTAGCGATCTTTGCTAGAATTATGAGTACACAGAAGTGGACAGTATCTCGATGTTCGTTTCGGTATATTCGATCGTTTGTATTGGTGTAGAACTGCTGATTATTTAATATTTTAATTTTTTATTATTAACATTGTGCTCTTACATATCTTACCTATACACTGAATTATTAAATTTACCAATATTTTATCAATATATTATATTGTAACATGTATATGATATTCGTGTCCAAGCTCGCACGCTCTAGGAACCATATAGTAATCGATCAGACTTAGATGCGGCGGTTGCTTGCGGCACCAAGTGTTTAACTATCGTAGCCATAAATAGACTCGCGACTGGTGCAGGATCGCCAGTTGCCTGAGGAAACTTAAACGCTCGGTTCTTTTCGTCTACTATACCATACCCATAATCTTAATGTACTGCAGTTAATATTTCGGCCGATAAAATCGCAATATTAATGGCATTTAATGTCCTGCACCAGCCTTGGATTAAAGGTCAATCGCAAACAAAATTAACAGTTAGAGCTGATTTTCAGTAAAATAATGTTAACCATTATTTTTATTAATTTATTTGTTACAACTAATTTTGAATAGCTTATAATTCTTTAACTGTAGCTTATACAACAGAAAACTTATTTTTAAATTGCTTAACATTTTAATATTTTAATAAATATTCCTTATACTTATTGTATACGTTTGTAAGATATATAATGCTACTAAATAGATACGCAGATACATATTACTACATATTTTTTTAAGTTTTATTATTAGTTTTAACTTTCAGGTTACATATTTTATTGCCTTAGTTACTTGCAACTATGAGTTTATATATATTTTTAGTTAATAAATCAGTAACTTTACCTATACTAATTACTATTTTGTGAACATTATACGGTTCGTTTTTTATGTTTTATTTATTTTTATTAATAAATGTATAAATGTGATATAAAAAATCGAGACGAGTGGAGGAGAAGAAGAAGAATAAACGTATAAATTATTATTCAAAAAATAATGTTGTAATTATTTGTACTGTTGTTTTTTGTTAGTAAGTGTGGTACAGTAAGTACCTACTGTTAGGAGGTGTATTATTTTCAAAATAAAATATCTTTTACTAAATAATTGTACCTAAATTTAGTTATTTTTTTAGTTTTAACTTATCTCAGGAATTTAATGAAAGTGAGTAAATGTTACTTACCCTGGTTTACAGTATGTACTTATGTATAACTATACAAGTGTATCTTCAAGTCTCATATAAAAGCTTTCTCATAATGCGTAATATATATTTAAATTAATGTATTCGTATAATAATCCAAACAAATGTTTTCTACACGGGTTTTTTCTATGGATTAAGTGCGTCTTATTTCTCAGTAAAATTAAAATAATTAGGAATTATTGGGTGATTTATCTTAACGAATCAACTGTTAAAATTTTATCATTATTAGTTATTTTATATATTCAAATAAATAAATCTATATATAAATAATATGTAAAATAATATCTGTTATTCTAAAATTAAATAAATACAAATAAATTAATCGATTTATAACGTGATATTTATACACGTATATTATATTACCTCAATTAGCACAATTATTACCATCAAACATCACAATAATGATTGACCTATAAATAAATAAAACTTGTTATAATCAAGACTATAACTGACGTAATATTGAATCGAAGACAATCAAAAGTCACGCTAATGAATTTTTAGAATTGTTATAATTGTACGATAGCATTCCTTTTAGTAGTCATGTGACATTGTATGCTTTTAGATCCGATATCGATCAAAATCTATGTAATATACATTTAGGTTTTCGACTAAGAATTCTGATATATCATTCAACAAAAGTAAATGGCTCCCCGAACTTATATTTAGTTCATCTCTTAATTAAATTTACGCAACCTCATTTGAACCCTAGTTTCTTAATTTAAGATAGTCATATTTTTTTGATTCTTAAATAATAAATAATCAATTTAATTCTATTTTACTTTATTTAAATTAAGTTAAAACTATAAAAAGTTATAATAACTATAGAATTAGGGTTATATTATACATGATATATATGTATACATTTTACAATTTATATTTTAATAAATATACACAGTACCCCTGTAGTATAAATATACTACATGTACATATCGGTAACTCAATGCTAATATTATTTATAGTTAATAAATATTGAGATTTCTATTATTTTCTTAAAAATAGTTGACGTCAGCAACTCCAAAAATTAGGTTTTTATACAAATACTGAATAAAACGATTGGATTAAACTTCCTTTTTATGAATAGTATTTTATAAATAAAACAATATTAAATATTATTTTGTAATAATTTACAGTTATTAATGTTTTAGAGGTCTGCTACTAAATAAATTATATTTATTATAATATATTATATATTATATTATATTGTATTATAATATTTATTATATTTATATATATTTATAAATATTTATATTTAAGCTCTCGATAATTCTTATTAAATTTTCTCGTATTCGAATGCCTATTAAAATAATATTATAAAAATACTAATAATTATAGACTCTATTATAATAGTTGTATAAAACGAATAACAAGCAACAATAGTCAACAGGTGTGTATTATTGTATTATTTTGAAAATAAAAAAAGAAAGTACTATGACATCAAATCAGTAATGCGCATTTGTGTCATAAGATCGCTATAGTACTGGAACGATATTGAAGTAGGGTATACTGTTAAACAAAATGACTTATAATTTCCTTCTACGCAAGTAAACCTGTTCAATCCCAATTTCGCACAGAAATACTTTCTTTAGATCTCTCAGTGGAATAAAATGAGATTGTTTTTGAAACATCGCGTACAACAGTAATTATGTAAAATTACTTAAACGAAAATAAATAAAGGATTATTTGGTTATCCCTTATGTACTTAATATTATATTTAATAAATAAATGTGTGACAGTAAAATATTTGTTTCCGCATTAGTCGCCTCGGGAATAATTATTATTCTTGGCCGCTTGACGTTCCGTTTCTCGTCAACGAAAACCGGTTTTCTTGCATTCCCGTTACCTCATTGTGGCAATCGTTTAAATTAAATTTTAATCATACCTATGTATTCACAAATGACACTGAATCCATTGAACTTGCGGACTTCAATTTCAGGGATCGCCCTGCATGACGTGCGTGCGAAAAATAAAAACTACTAGAAATAATGTATAATAATAAAAAAAATAATAAACAAGGTCAATTTCGTTTCACTTCACGGCTCGTTATTACCGCGGGTTCAATGTTCTGGAAGACGCTCGGTTGGTCAGCAAACTGGCACAATGCGTTCCGACGATTTGCTCGTAATAATTACCGACTTCACAACAGTAGTGCATGTCTTTCAATTTATTTTTTTTTCTTCGGTTATTTTTTGCTCGTTTTACACGCTGTTGTGATTTTTCCCAGGATTTTTTTTTCTCTCATTGTTCCGCTGTTTTCTTCTACCTCTGCTGTTGTGGTTTTCCGTCTCGCGTATTCGCACGGAAACCGCTGTTCAGAAACCTCAATTCTACAATAATAATATAGTTAGATCTATGACGAACTCGGTGTTATCGAACTTCACAATATAACCAACGGATGACTGTGTGTAGATGAAATATCTTCAAACCAGTTAGGCACCTAAAACATTATTTCATGAATCATGGAGTATATGAAGGTCGGAATCGATAATCATTATTATAGTTCAACTAAATTAAAGAAGCATTGTTTGAGAGAAAAAAATTAACAAAATAATAGTCGACCGTCGTCTACTTCGTTAGTCTCCAGAAGTTTATAGAAATTATTTGAATAAATATTGCAATTTATTTTTACGTAACTGTTTGCTAAATTTCTTTGTACTACTATATAATGCTATATAATGCATAACGCTGTACGGTTTTGTTTGGAGGTTCTTTCCTACCGCTGTTTTCATGGTCAAAAAGCCATGCTGTTTTATTAATATTAGCAAGATCCATTTCCGGTAGCATACTATGCTGTTGTCTGGCTATTTTATCGATGGTTTTAAGTCATATACAAGATTCATAACATTTTATTTATAAATATTAAACGTCCGATGTACAACTACAATTTATTCTCTATAACTAAAAGATAAAATAAAAATTTTATCCCCCGCGTTTTTATTATGCTGCGGAATACATCAAAATGTTTTTCTTATGAATGGATCACAATAAAACCGTACTCCCCTCTGGACCCTCTTTATTGCACACGTTCAAAATAAGGGAAAATGAAATATTATACATGTTATTTATCATATTGTTCGGTGGGCGCAACGGAATTCTTCACTCTCTTTCACTTTATATTTTCTACGAAGGGTGACTACTATATAACAGGTGAACACAGCCTAATGCACAGGTGCCCAAAATCAGTGCCCTTATTGTTAGTGGTTCTCCTGATGTCTTGTAAATTTACCAAGAAGAAATTTGTAAGCATATTTAACGAATTGTTATTTTCTTCTAAATAATCAACACTTGTACATTTAAATCATAATATATGCGTTTTTCAATGTGGCGCTGCCGTTTTTTTTTTTTACCAAATGAATTAATATAACTATAATATGTGCTTAATACTGATGTTAATAATAATCATTGTTTCAACATGGGAAATAAACAATGTCTGGTTTTAATAAAATAAAATATTTGATAATAAAATAAGTTAATTATTTTTAAGCGAATATTTATTATTTGTTATTTTTAATTTTCAAATTATCAAACGTATCCAAAACCGCTTACAAGGTATACGGGTTTCACGCGAACAAAATTTAATAATAACATTAATAATTATAATGATAGTACATGATTTGTTGGGTTTTAATATCGTTATATCGGTACCGCCGCATACACGTATTTTTTTCCAGCTAAATATGAATCATGTACATTTATTTACTCGGGAATTTAAAAAACCCATACGGTGTACGATTTGTGTGTTTTTCGAAAACCGCGTCTGCCGCGAGACATCAACGGACTGGAACGTATTGCGATTCATATTTTATCGATAAAACCAATATCGTAACAGTAGGTTACGCGACCGTGTTGTATCCTCGAATGCGTCCCGTAATGATGTATTTATTTTTTTTTTTTTTGTATCCCACTGGAATTCCGAACAAACGGACGGTTTCGTCTGTCGACGCGGAGAATTACGATTTTGGTGTAATTCTCGTCGTAGCCAAAAATCGATTATACAACCACGGCTGCCGCCCGGGGCCGTGTGTACAATGTGAAGGTGAATAGGAAACACGGTCCGCAATAAAAACGACGCGGCGGACGGCGGAGAGGAGTAGTAGAAGTGAACGGCAAACCGCCGTACGTTCCGAATCACTGTTATGGCCGGTGGATTTCTTTTGTTTCCCCGCCCCGTAACCGTACATTATTTTTATGAAACGCGCGCGCGCGCGCGCAGGTTGCTCTCCGTACCGCCGCCCCGCGGTATCTGCGGCCGTTAGCCGAGACGCTGTTGCGTTGGCTCGTGATTGAACCTGAAACGAGTTTTACCTTGAGCACCGTCGACGAGGTGTGCCGGACAAAACCTGACTGTGTAGACCCGCCGAACGGACCAATGCCATCGGTGACGACCACGACGACGGCGCGACTTCGACATCGTCGTGTACCGGGCGGCGGTCGCAATGTTTTAGGTTTTTCCTCTGTGTTTCGTATATATCTATTCCGAACCACCGCCATATTATACGTGCACGGAAAAAGAAGTAGTAACAATTAAGTACTACTACGGCGGTCGGAGGCGTACAAATTTAGCGGTGCGCGGTGTTCGTTTTCGCCTCCAATCCGGTCGCCGTTAATTTGGTCCCGGGCCAGATTTGTTTTTTTTTGGAATTTTTTCAATTATTTCGCTTGTGTACGGAAGAAAAAGCGGTTTTCGCCAATGCTACGTACTGATGCATTAAAAAAAAAAAAATATTTATATATAATAAATACTTAACCCACGCTTAGTTCTATCAAGGCCAAACTTCCACATTTGGGCGCTAGCAAAAACAATCGCTAAACGCATCTAATTAACCCTTCAAAATACTATCGAGTGTGCGCGTCTCGAGGACGAACGTTACGACTGTCGGCAGTTACGTATTAGACATAGACGATTACGTTAAAAAAAAAATGTTCGAATCCTTTATCTGTTTAATATGTCTGTGGAGGTCGTCGCTATCCAGTGTCCTTTGGCGGTCCCCATCATGGTCGCTTACGCACTAGCGGTTTTGTCTACTACTACGATAGACAGGACAATGGCACTGAAAATTTACGACTGAAAACGATTATTTTTTTTCCACGTTATAAAAATCACGTTCTGTTAAAATATTTATTTGCTTATTTGAAGACAAGCCAAATGTTTCATATCGATTCTCATATAAGTACACATTCGCTTTCGGCAATGAAAATAACGGGTGTCTATGTGGTATAACATAAAATCATTATTATTTTATTGCTCACCGAGGAGAACACTTTTTTCATCAACCTATAATTCAGTTGAAGTAAAACAATAATACCTAGTTAAAGTATGTCAAAGAATTTTTTTTAAACATATCAAAATTTCACTTGCTCATCACGGAGTAGTTTTATTCCAAATAATTTTTAATATACTATTTTTGTATAATTTATCAAATAAATAACCTTTATCTGGAAACGAATGTATTGGAATTTCGGACGCTCTAACGACTAATTCTTGTATGTATTTAACGTTCGTCCGTGAAACATTTTTAACCATACTTACATTTTTAATGGCTTTATATACGTGCCTTACATTCAGTACCTATCGTTGAATCGTGCGTGAACATAAATTTATCTTCTGCGCTCAGCATTATTCGCAACACATTTTTGTACGCATTGTCATCTAAATATACCGTTATGTCTGGCAAAAATGGAACCATTAGTTTGTTGAGTATGTTTGTCTATGTGCATACAATATTATCATAATATGACCGAACCCCACACAAGTATATTCAGTATAACAAAAACAAAAAAAGCAATCACAATGATACTGGCAGTGAAACACCCACATGCATTATTATTCAATACGGCAAACACATAACTGCAGAATAACGTTATGGTCGAAATTTTCGAAGGTCATTTTTCGGTTTTTTTTTTTTTTTTCTGTAAAAGATAACGTGAAATTATTAAATATTTTTAACGTTGTGTTCATGTATAGCCGACTGGCATGTCCCGTAAAATATACGTGTGCTTAAGTCACGTATTGATTGTGTTGTCCTGATTGGTTTGATTTAAAATTATGATAAAATTACACGCGTGCATATTATTATGTATCGTCTGCGCACCGTTGTTAAAGTATTTTGTCCTTGAGAGATTTTAACGACCGACCATTATAAGCAGACATGAACTTTGCCTTGAACTTGGTTAATGATTTGAAATTCAGCAAGTATTTCGCACGGTTATACCTATAGTTGTATTGTGTACGTATTATTATGATTGCACACATACACACACACACACACACACAAACATACACTCGCCACGAATACACATTATAAATTATCATATATATATATATATATATATATATATATATATATATACAAAAGTACATGTACACGTCTCGATAGTATGAAAAAAAAAACGAGTTCTGTGCTAGTCACGCTCCGAGATTTGTTCACACAAACCCATCGATATAAACTATTGGAGTAGTGGAAAAGCAGTGTATACACCGTTGGTGAATATAAGGTAGTGCAAATTCATTGGCTACGAAAATCGGATTTAATTGGTTACCGGCGAGCATTTTATGCTTTTTGCTCGTTCAGGTGTTGCAATAAAAAAACAAACCGTCAGCATTACGGTGAATAATCTTTGAGGTAAATTTTGGTTGGATGCGCAGTGTTTTCCGTACTAGTGGTCGAGTGCAACGACATTGATCGTTACGGTCGACGGGACTAAGACTGTTTTTTTTTCCGATTTTCATCCGTACCCAATGGCTTTTATAGCGGAACGGAAAATATACATAGTATATATAATTATTTATATGTATATTAAAACGACCCAATGTACAGAAGAGTTTTTCACAAGAAATTTGTCAAAGTTGAACGCTGCCGGTGTCTTTATAATATATATAGACGTGTTTCGGTATTTAGATTCTTGGTGAACGCAGCCTTGTAGTTCAAGAATCCGGTTAGAACCGTTCGTCCGGTAGTCGTGACGCAGCCAAACCCGGTCTTGGCTATCATATTAATGAGTGTTTATTTTATTTCGTCCTACTTCCACTGATGTTTGAAACGAAATGAAATAGTCGTGTTTCAATGATAAAAGTTCATAAATTTGTATGAAGAAAAAAATTTACATTTCATTATAAAAACTTACGTATTTCATACAATTTATACGGAACAAATATTATTATGTATATCGAACCATCAACATTTTATGTTTAGACGTTTCGAGCCGTACAATATCACAGCAAATAAAATGTATTTAATAGCACGTATTTTCTTCGTTGTCTATAATATATGTATACGAGAACGAGCATATTATATCGGTCTCTGCGACTATTAAGAATGATAATCAGGATTCGGAGTGTCTCGTACAATAATAAAATCTGACCTTGGATAAAATCTGTGTTCCTTATATTTATCCCGTTTTGTTTGTGCTGTTAACCGAAGACCAAAAATCTGGTCAAATAATAGAACACCGGAGCAACATGAATTATGGTTTTATTGTTGTCAGTAGAAGGGTGGTTCGTTTGTTACCACTCTTGGCGTCCGTCGAACCGCGTACTGGTTGTTTATTCAGAGGCAAACATGACCTTGTTGTGTGGCGCGGGATAACAATAATAATTATCCTTGGCCTGGGACAAACAACGGTCGTGTCTGGCAAGTGGGTTAAAGGGTTCGGGTGTCACGCGTTACGTATGTCCGTAGTGTCTTGAACATTTGAACGTGACCCTCTGCGTGCGTGTATATTATTAACGTGTACACACACAACACGCTAAGAGATGACTGTCGATTCCGTTAAATATTTGACTTATTAAATTCTACTGTTTGTCCAATGTATTTACGCGTTATATATATTTTACAGATAAAAACGTCTCGTACAAAGATCCGTTGACGGATAAGGATGGCGATCGAATACAAGGACGAGCGTCACGACATAAATTTCCTACCCTACATCAAGTCGGCGCCGTAGAGCTTGTCGAGAAATCCACGCCGATTCTATTGTGTCCCCCGTCACCCGACTGGAACCCATCACCCGACTGGAACCCGCCACCGAAAAAGCGTTACAGATCGACTTTGGACGGTGATCTATTGCCGTACGGCAGTAAAGTCAGCTTGCAAATAACTCGGCAATCCGAACCGACCCCGGCCAAAGTTGAAGAGGAACCGGCAAAGATCCCGGAGGTCGAAGTAAAGAAATCGCCCGCTCCGCCACCGCCGCCACCACCGCCGCCAGTGGCTCCCAAATGTCATCAAGTGTCCGTCATCCAACGAACACCCGTGGCCGTAAAATCGTTACCCACGCGCCCCGAATCGCCTTCCGTAAGATCGCCGGTCGCGGTCCAGGAACCCGAACAAGACGCGCCGATCGATTATCACGTGCCCAAAAAGGAGTCGGATCTGGACTCAGAAATCGTGCAGGCAATCAAAAACAAATTCACCATCACGTTACGCGGTCAGTTGGTACCGGCACCCGATGGCATCATCACCGCAGCTGCTGGCCGCGGACGGAGCAGCGCCGGTCAACAAGGCGGTGGGGGCGGAGGGGGATGCACCGGTGGCGGTACCAGTTCCGGTTCAAACCGCGGATCGTCTTTGCATTCGTATTCGCTGGGCGGCGGAGGTAGCGGTGGACCCGCCGGACTGTTGGGCAACGGAGGCTTGGGTGGAGGCATGGCGCCGGGTGGAGGTGGCATGAACCCCGGCGGCAATGGCAAACATTTCGGCGGGCCCAACAGCCCCGTGTCATTGCCGCCTTTCCACGAGAGCCTCATCAAGACCGGTGGCAACTGCTACTCCGCCCAGTACAACAATCAGTACCATCTGATGATGAACGAACAGCTCTGTTACAGCAACAACGATACGGGTCAGAACCCCACGGCTGGCTGTGGGCCATTTAATATCGGCCTGGATGGTCCGCCCAAACAGTACTCGATGTTACAAAATGCTTCGTCGCTGGGCATCGACATAAAAGAAGACTGCGAAGATCTTTCTAGTTATGTAAAAGAATCGAACGGATTCGACACGATAATGGCCGACTCGGAAAACGGCACGTCCAGTGACCCATTGCAATTCACCGCGACCCTCACGTTTGCCGGTCCAACGGACCCGGACTTCTTGGACAGTCTTAATGATGCCGCCGAGTTATTCTTCAAAGAGGTATATTTAAAATTTTACTATTTTTTATTTTTTATCGTCGAAATACTTATAATTGAACTGATGCACTATTGTGATGCGAAATAATTAACGTTTTTTTTACTAACACTGTGCTTTTTTTCTACTTTCAGCCCCAAGAATGCATACCTCCTTCGCTAGTAGAACAACCTATACACATGTTCAATGAACATAGGAACAGTTTTTCCGAGTCGCAACCGGAAAAACGTAATTACCTACCGCAAAATAATAACAGCAACACCAACAATAACAGCAATGGACCATCATTAGCGTGCCGGAATAACTATGGTAACTGCGATATATCTAAAGACCGGTTATCGCACGGTAATTTTGAAGACTCCAATCAACAAATGCAACAACTGCAGATACAATTGCAATTGCAACAACCGCAAAACGTAGACGTATGTGTTCCATTAATAAAGTAGTTTTTATACATAAATAGGTTACAGTACTGTAGCAGAATCGTATTATATTTTAGGCTTGTGGACAAATAATGTTATCTCCGGGCTTATCGTCGTTGGAGATAGACTCTAACACCAGTATGTCTGCGCCGTCACCTGCTAGCGTCAGTATGGACGGTACGATGTCGTCGCTTACGCCACCACCACAAAACGGCAAGGACTCTAGTAACTCCGCTATGGATGTTAGAGTTCTGCAACATAGGGTGAGAAAGACCACCCCACCCATAGAGAAACCTAAATATTCTTCTTTCGCCAATAAGCTTACTGCAAAAGTACATGTTCTTTGCTTCCTTTTTTATCCCTTTATCCTAACCAGGACCTATCGTGTGTGCTAATGTAAAATATTTATTTATAGCTTGGCCTTCCTAGCGAATTGCCATTTGAGTTCGTCAATGGTGGTCATGGCATCAAGAACCCACTGGCCAACCACGACCCACTACCGCCACCGGCCCCGCTTACTAGAGCCCCCGAGCCAGAAAGAAACAAAACCGTGACAGCGCCTGCCACTGTCGTATCGGCCAGCACTCCTCAAGAGCCAGTCGAAACAAATAAAAACGGTTCAAAGTTCTGTTGCAATTTATGTTCAAAGACTTTCAACCTGCAACGTTTGTTGAACAGACACATGAAGTGTCACAGTGACGTTAAACGGTATCTTTGCACTTTCTGCGGAAAAGGTTTCAATGACACATTTGACTTGAAACGACACACTAGAACACATACAGGTATGTACAATTTACATTGCATTAATTATTGTTTCATGAATGCCAACGAATGCTGAGTTAGAGTGGTAATCAAGGGACGGTTTATTATAATGATCATTAGAAATATTTTATTTCTTTATATTTGCTAAACTGTCGCTATAAATGCAAACAAATTCATTAGATTTATTTTACTATGTGACTTATACTTTTATCTAAAATGCTTTTAAAAATTAATTGTTGGTTCAACATATGTATTTTAAAATATTAGTTGGCTTTTAAAGAAGTATGTCAATAGATAATTTAATTTTTAATATTTTAATCTGTGTATAACAAAATAAAACATTCAATACCATAAACAAAAAATATTTTACAGGAAAAAACTACTTTATATTTATTAAATTTAGATGAAAAACTAGTTTTTAAAATATTATATTATTTGCCAAAATAAAATAGTTAATCCAAAGTCAATGGGTTTTTAAGTTTTATGAAATGTATTACCAAATAATTTAAAGGAAAAAAGATTTAATGATAAAAATATAATTTTGAAAATTAACAAAATTACTAGTTACAGTTACCGATACCTACATTTTTACAAGGTATAAAATCCAAAATTCAAATCACAGCATACTTTAAGCTTTAATTTTTTTCTTTCGACTAATCATAGCCTTAATGACACTTGTTACATAATAAGTTGGATTTCAATCATGATACGATAATAACGTGGTACAACCATCAAACAGACGGGGTCGAAGTTTCACTCGAAAAATGTGTTTTTTTTTTCATTTCTGTATCGCGTTATCGTATATTATATAGTTCTGACAGACATGTCGACTGGCTTATATAACATCTTTATTCATTCGGGTAATCGTAATTGCATTATGTGTAAAATACCAATGTATTTTGATTGTAAAAAAAAAAAGGACATTATCAAATATCGTGAAATGTGCATCATTTGCCTGCATGGCCTAGTGTTATGGATGAGATGGGGACGGGTGAAAAATACGCGCTCTCGTGAGGATAATACTGTAGGGTTTTCTCCCTAGCCAATTAAGCACTCTAACTCACCTCGATTCATTCTGAAAATACCGCTGCCATCCAACCCAAAACGTTTTATTGTGCGTCCACAGGTGTCCGGCCCTACAAGTGCAATCTGTGCGAAAAATCGTTCACCCAACGTTGTTCACTCGAATCTCATTGTCTGAAAGTGCACGGCGTGCACCATCAGTACGCGTACAAAGAGCGAAGAACAAAGGTATGTTTATTATAACCCCGTTGTAAAACGTACATACGCCACTTGGTGGTATGATGGACATATGTGATTAATATGCGCATGTGCTGTTGTCCGTTACAGATGTACGTTTGCGAAGAGTGTGGGCACACCACCAAAGAGCCTGAAGTGCATTACATTCACCTGAAGGAAAAACACCCGTACAGCCCAGCGCTGCTCAAGTTCTACGACAAGAGACACTTCAAGTTTACCAACTCGAACTTTGCAAACATGTTGCTCCAAGTACGCACCTAATATTGGTTTTAATGCAATCATATTGCTAGACCGACCAAAATGTTAATTTTTTTATATTTAATATTAATATTACATTATATACGTAGAGCTAAATTATTATTTTAGTAACAAATTTTTTAGTTACGCTGTCGTTGGCTTTAAATATATATATATATATATTTATAAATAACGTAACAAATATTTACCGCACTCGGCGAACTGTAATGGTTGTTCAGCGACAAGACACCTTCACTAAATTATCTCTCACCTTAAACGCTTACATTGAGTACACAATATTTAAAAAATCATAATTGCTCAAGATTTAAAATATATTTTCAATCGTAATCCAAAACATATTTTTACGATGATTATTTTTTACCTTCTGGTTCGTTCAGCTTATAATAATTCATGAATTCATTTTAAATATTTTAATATTTACTGATTATTAAATTGCTATTTTCTACAGTAAATATTAAATAAATCTTTAAAATTGTTAAACCGTATAATTGTAATAATGTAATGATAGATTCGATTAAATATATTTTGATGAATAAGTTATCAAATACACAATGTAGAAATAATAGTTTTTGTAGTCTACGGGCAGATATGTGTGAGAATTATTTAAGGAGATGTCTTGTCTAGAATATATTTTTCGGGAATATTTAGACTGATTGCCGTTATCGTACGGAGAAATTATGTCAGATATTTTGGATTTCAGGAACGCGAAGGACTTACGTCCAGTTCTTTTAACTTTTATCCGAAGTGCGTTGAAAGTTAACGGTGCGCATTGAGTGTACCTCTTACGCAACAACACTTCTATGGACTGTAGTCACTATTCTATCCAGCGTTCGGTCGTTGGATAATTGTTTTCAAGTAGAAATGTTGATATAACAATATGTTGTTTGGGTTATGTAAATAATTATTACTATATTTTTTATACTTGTTTAGAGTATTATCCGTACAAACGTAATACTTAAGTATATGAATTTAGAACTGTATTATTAATTTTAAGTTTTTTTTTTTTTTTTACAAAAATCGATACTACGAATTGTATTATTAAAACTGTAATAAAAGTTTTGCATAAAGTTTATCATTGTCGCGTAGTTATTACTTCAACGAGCGACTCTGACAATTGTTATATTTAAGTTATATTCATTTTTTACCCGAGTACAGTAAGTACAGTAGACTTTCGATAAATTGAGTACCGTAAAGTCCGTAATTTCGAAAGAATACACTATAAAGTTTTGCATTAATTATATTAAAAACTGTTTTATTACCTGGAATTTTTCAACGTAGTGAACGATTTATTCGTTTTCTTTGGTCCACTTCGTTTATCGAAAGTCAACTGTATTACGCTGGAATGGAAAAATTACATGTAAATACATTATAATTGATAGCTTAGCAAGTAACAAAATTAGTGGTTTATCTTCTGATGGTGGAACTCCTAGTTCTACAAACCGCGTTCTGAATCGATTGAAGCGTTGATACGTTGACAAAAAAAAATGTACCTCGTACCAAAGTCTTCTGTATTTTCTTGTATCTCTTGTAGTTAGTGTCGTGAAAACAGGGTAGGCATTTTCACACGAAACTAGGATACAAATTATTGAGGAAAAATATTAATTTGCTCGTGTTATTATACGTTTAGAAATTACCTCAAACAGAAAAAAGACACGAATGTATGTGTCTTGTTAACGGCGCTGTTTGTGGTTTATGGGCTCTCAATAGATATTCTGTACGACCCTTTTTTCTTTTTATTCATGATGACGAGTAAATTATATTGATAAAAGAGCAAATTTTGGGACGGGTAGTGATATCCTAATGTGTTTATAACCTCAACGGGTTGAATATAAACTATTTATAAAATTCATAATATTAAGTATAGTTTTTATTAATTTATAATTTGCAAAATAAAAAAAAAATATCTGGGAAAGGATTCGCATTTTTCTAGAGTAGGTACATTAAGTAGTACCTAGTAAATATTAAGTAGCATATTTACTGTGAATATAACCTGTGATACGTTTAATTTTGTTCTAAAACACATCCTAACTACATTTGTATTATTATGATCGTTTTAACGTTATGTGAACAATATTATTTAGTTTGTAGGCAATTTTTACTTTTTGATATTTAAGTTATTTAAATGAAGAAAAAAAGTATATGTATATATTTATATATGTTTATATATACGTATTTATCACTATTATAATTATTATTATTATTATTTTTACTCATTAATAATCGAACAAAATTCTATGTAGGTATGAACACAACGGTCTAACTAACAGTTTCTATTTACAATCATACACACATTGATGCACATCCTAAGCGAGTTATCCTCAATCTACACACCTTATTTGTGAGTTTCAAGTATCGCTATTCGTTATCTATTTATTTTTTTATTTTTATTTTTTATTTTTTTTTTATATATATTTTTTTTTTTTTTTTTTGTTACCTATTTTATGATATTTAACGTCACTATTATGCGACGTTGTAAGTACACTGTGGAAAAATTTAGCAAAGTTCAATTCTGGTTGGTATAATAGAAGTTTTTTTTTATAAAATTATTTTAATTTATAAAGTTTAGTTTTGATATTAATTTAATAATTTTATAAACGTTTTGAAGTTTTTAACTAATTTTAAAAAAATATGACTGTTAAAGAAGGTTCGTTCCTTAAGAGATAATATAATGTCCAAACAAACATCGTACAACAGTGTAGTCAAATGGTATAGGTAACATTATTATATAAGCCCTGGTTAACTCAAATATTTTATTTATAATATTTATTTCTAGTTAAAAATAATATTGATAATGATAATATAATATATAGTTCTACATTCCAACCTGAATTAATAAATCCTTATTAGCATTATGATTATTTAGTTATTATGTTATGTTAGAAATATGTTATTTAAGCCTATATGTTTAAGTTCTGTTAAAATTCTGTACTAGTAATTTTTGTTGATTTTTTTTTTTTTTTACTTTCATTCGGTTATCTGAAATTTAAATAATTAAAATGAAATGCTTTATACATTGGAATATACTATTATAATTGGCTGAGATGTTTACTTTAAAATAGCTTGTTTTATTTATTCCTCGTACCTTATCGTATATTCCTTTTCTGCATATAGAAATATGTTCTCCAACGGTGTCGCCCAATCATGACTAATGAATAATGAGTATCCGTTTGTATAATATTATTTGCAGGTAATTATCATAAATTTAATGTACTATTATTATATGATACATACCAACTACTATCGATAAAACAATTAGTTTCTGAATATTATATATATATATATATATATAATTTGAATTTTATAAGTATTATAAAATAAATGAACCTACCAGTTGTGTATGTATGCCTATTCGATCGTTGCGAATGTGGACAACAAGCCACACAAATGGTGAGTATTTTTATACGTATACATAAACGCACAAGTGTTAAAACAAACTCATATAGCTCGTCGTTGTTCGCAGTCTTGAAATGGAAAATGTGTGCTGCTCGGTAATTTTAATAAATTATGTTTTGAAAAGACGAATCACGTGGGAAGGGGAAAGGGGGGGAGCATATTAAAACCGTACGAGGTTCAGCCTCCTCCCCTTCCCCGTCAACCATAATCGTAATCGACTGCTTAATGAAATGCCGAAATATTATACGTATTTATAAATTAAAACCTGTTGTAATACGTAGGTATGGTTTTTATTAAAAAACCGCGAACAATGTGTGTGGTGTGTGTACACCATCGTATCACAATGGGGTGTATAACATGATATATTATAATGAGACGCGTACCTACGGGACAACAAGCGTATCGACGTAATCATTGTATTATTATCTAATTATCGGCGGGGACCCATAACTTATGTCGACTGGTTATGAAACTCGCAACAGTACCGTTCATGTATAGCCATCGCATACATATTGTGATCAAAATTTATTCTTTGAAGTGTTCCGACACCATCACGCTCAGTTTTGTAAACGAAAAGGGTAAAAAAAAAAAAAACAATCTTAAGTAGGCACTTGAAGTTTGGTTTCTGTTTTGTTAGGGAAGTTACACTGAATTAGGACACAACAAATTTGAAAGCCAACACGAGTAACGATATTTTAAAGATATAAAGTATACCGTGAAGTTCAGCGGTCCTCACCAGGATTTTAGAAAGAGCAAAATGTAATTTTTGAAATTTACTTGTGGGCCGCATATATTTTTAATAATAATAACCGTAACAGATTTTTTTTAGAAAACATTTCTTTTTTATTTCAAATAGTTTTTCTTATCTTATTTTAGATGGATGGATAATTTTTAGAAAATTCAATATGGTGAGTTGTTTAATAACAATTAAAATTATAACGTTTTGTAATATTTATGGTTTTACGACAAATTAAACATGAAGCATCGTGTTTCTTACCAGAAATACAGAATAATTCAATTTTCCAACTGTCTTGAAATATTCTGTGTTCATCTTCGATTTTACGTTTCGCCATGATGGAGAGTTAAAATTTACGTCATAAAATACAAACGGACAATAAGCGATAATGGATAAACTGTTAATATAAGACTACGCGATGGAAATGAATAAACTCATAATCATAGGTACCTGCTTATCTGTCCAACTGGTAATTCAATACAAGTTTAAAATAGAAAGATAAAATAAGTAAAAATAATAAAATGAAAAGCAACGTTCATTTTATTCTCTATTTATAGAATTTTGGATTTTAGAACGTACAATTTAATTTTAGTGCGGGTCGCACTAAATTTGTTAAAGGGCAGCATGCGGCCCGCGTAGTGGGAACCGCTGGTGTAGATATTTTGATTATTGGACGTTAAAAATGTAATGTGACTGAAACGCGACACCGCGAACATCAGCAAACTGCTAAATAATAATAATGAAAAAAAAACCAAAAAAAAAAAAATCAATTATTTATTTATTTATATCATTATAATTGTATAAGAAACTTCACAATCAAAACAATCGAAAAACTTCACAATCAACGGCACCCGTGTCGTTTCGTACCCGTCCATCGCTACGAACGGATTTTTATATGAGCGAGCGGATAACCCATTTGTCTCGAACGCTCAACGTCTATATCAGTGGTTCACAACCTTTTTTATTCCATTCCCTCCCCTCGTAAATTTTCAAAAATCTCATGCCCTCTTCCCTTAAATTAGAAATAAGATGACCTTTTTTTAGTAAACCGTTTAAAAAGAAAATTTTGCAAAATAACTATAAATATATTATAATATTATATTATACAACTAATGAAATTTTTTTTTATCATAATTTTAAAAATAAAATACAAATCAACTTTATAATTAATAAATTTTTTAACACAATTTTATAAATAATAATTAAATATGATGGTAAAATTAATTCAATGTGAAAATTGAGTTTGTTTTTTTTTTATACAAAGTCCATAATCCATGGGGATATATTTGATAATGTCAACGCATATCATTTTCCATATCCAATCGATTTTTTTGCTTGCCTTTTAATTTATAAAAGCGTGGAAATCTGACTTACAGAGATACGTCGATATAAATGGGATTAATGCTTGCAGAGCAAATAAAATTATCGTTATATCATCAAAAATATATTCCCCCGTTCAGTATCTAAATCCCCCCCTGGGGTGAAATTCCACCTCTGTTGGGAACCATTGGTCTATACGAACCGCAGTTAGATAAATTGTATACATTCTAAAGTCAAAAAATTCAAAAGTTAAAAAAAATTAGTAAAATACTCATTTTCGTACCTAGTTCTCTATATTTTACACGGTTGTAGAAAATATTTTAACAAAATATTTGGCACTTATACCCCCCTCCCTCCCATGTGATAATTGAATGCTACCCAGTGACGGATGATTGTGCCACTGACCAACACATTATCATAACAACTGATGTCGTTAAAAATGTAATGATTTAATTTAATTTATTTAATTTAATGTCATTTTAATAAAATTAGTAATTATATATACCCATTGCCGTATTTAGGCATTTTGCGGCTCGGCGCAAAAAAAAAAAAATTGTGCCCCTTTAAGGGGCCTACCCACGGAAAATATAGGAGATAGATCCTCATGAACCTTTTAGATATTTTAAAATCAATGCTATTTTTGTGTTGTAGGTACGCCATCACACGCCGCACGCGATAACATGATACCATGTATTACTATAAATAACTTATTTTATATAGTTTATTGACATCATCACAACAAATTTGGGAACTAATATTAGGTATAATATTCTGAATCGCTTATATAGGTATATTGCTATAAATTCATTAACATTTATTTATGATAGTGTTAATAAAAACAAAAAAAGAAAAAAAATAATAATTTCAAAATAATTTTAAAAGTTCAATAATTTACAAGTGAGCAAATTTCTGACCACAAAATCTTGGCGCCCAGGGTAGTTGTAGCCAGTGCCCCCCTAAATGAGGCCCCGTATATACCTACATAAGGAATATGGAAATATTTGTTTTTCCTGTAGAAGTGCAATTGCCAGTTGGAATTGTAGACAAACGCTATCACTGGTGACTTAAGTTCCGGGTGGGGGTCATGTCTTCGAATGTCATGTTTTCAAAGGTCATATTTTTGAATGACGAATGTTAGAAAATTTATTTGTTCGAATACATATGTGATCGAAAATGTTGTGTTCTCCGTCCGACGTTTCAACAGTACATATTTTTGCTCCATATTAATTGAACATGTCTAGTAAAAAACGTTTTGGTCATCACGTTTTCTTTTATAACTTTTATTTAATGTATATAAAAAATTATTTTTACTTAATACTTTTCCTCCGTGAATACTTTTTATAACTTTTATTGAACACATTTTATTAAAAAAAAAGACAATTACATAAAACGTAACAAACTAAGCTTCAGTACAGATTTCAATCATGTTTTGTTGTATTCTATATCACACCACTGAAGGTATAATAGTCATTACTAGGATTCGGTACTTATTACACACAAATTGTAAGAAATATGCATGCACATATGCACTTAAAATAACCGAAGTATGTGCAAAAATATGCAACTGAATATTTTTTAAATGCCAATTAAAAATTTAATTTATTCATTTAAATTTAGAACATTTTTTGTGATTAGTTTTTTTTTACTACAATAACACTATCAACATTGTATTACTGAAGTGTATGTTCGATTTAATTTTCTTTGTTTTCTCCTACAATAAAACATTTTTTCTAATATAAAACAAAAACTGCGTAGATATGCTAAATAACAATTAAACTGTCAACATTTGTCAAATATGCATTTTGCCCAGAAAATGGCAAAATATGCGAAAATATGCTATTAAAGTTTTTGTATTTCAATCAGTTATGACTTAAAATAAATTTAAATCTTACTTAGAATATTCTGTAGTTATTACCAATAAGCAGGGTTCTTAAGTTCATGCATTAAAAAATGCTTAAATAAGCATGTATTTATTCACTTAAAATTAGCAAAATATGTTTTGAAATATGCATTAAAAAGTTAAAAAATATACATATATATGCACTAAATATCTAAAATTATACACTTAAAAAATGATTAGTTAAAAAAATCATAAATAATTTTTGAAATGACATGAATTATCTAATCATTTTTTTATAGCTATATTTTATTTTTTTATATCATAATTAAAAAAAAAAAAAAAAATAGATTTTAAATACTTGAATCTTCATGAACTGAATATAATGTACGCCTTTGTCAGTAATTAATTTTAAATCTGAAACTATTGAAACAAATTTATTCAGAATATCAAGAAGATAAAATAAGAAAAGATAATACAATTTCTATTTTTAATTTTACATATATTTTCCATTTAGATTTTTGATACATTCTAATAGAATGTTTTATAATAGCCCGATAAAATAAAAATATGCGTAAATATGCCAAATATACAAAAACAAGCCAAATATGCAAAAACATGAAAAATAAGATTTCATATATTAAGTACACTAAACTAGCATTAAATACAATTTTGGAAGATTGATATGCAAATGCATGAACTTACGAGCCCTTTTAATAAGCTATAATAGCAATATCATGCTGTCTACTATCTACTATATGTACTATATTATCTTTATTACTTTTAGTATACGATATTAATTGGGTATGTAGTAAAAATTTATGTATAAAAATAAAATAATGATATTTAATATATTATTTCATTGATACGACTTTTTGAACATATATTTATTCGAACAAATAATTTTTCGATTACATTACTATTCAAACAAATAACTTTTCTAACACTCATGACATTCGAAGACATGACCCGCTCCTGCATGGTTTATTTCGTATTATAAAATAAATAAGGATATTTTATTGGAAATAAAATATGCACGCGACTATAGCAGTTACTTTGATATTGGTATAAAATATAAATATAAGTTATATAAAAATAAAAAATTTTAATATTTTAATAATAGACGACATTTTAACAGTGTTATATATTTCTTCGGAAGAAGTCGATCGCCATCGTCTTCATAGACTGAAGGTTGGGTGAGAACAACAGTGATATGTAACTATATTTCTGATATCTTTGTTATTGCAGAATACCGTGCTGCGAAGCAATCTCTATAGATTTTTTTTTTAAATATTTTGTTATTTATCTTGTTCTCATCACACATAAACTAAAATTATAAACAATATAAACGTGTCTAAATATATATAATTTTAGTTATAATATATTCGATTCTGTAAAATCTACCTGCGCAATGAGTAATGAGTCATTACTAATGACTGTATCAGTTTTTTTACTGTTTTCTATGTATTTGTGTTCTGCGCTCTTGACGAACGAATAGTAGGAATTATAACTTGTGGCCACTCGACGGCTTGTTATGTTGGACGTATAAGTTGCTGGGTCCGTAATTTTAATGTGTTCACTTCACTATCCATTACTTATTACATTATTTTTAATTATTATATATTTAAGTATTTATAAAAATATGTAAATTAAATTATATATTATTATTTACTAATAATTGACATTATTCATCCATAATAATTTATAAACATTTTAACAAAATGTCAAAAAATCATGTCCAAATTGATAATGAATTCCTTTGGTGTACTGAGCAAAAAAGACCATAGCCTCATTCGCCGTTGGCGTTCGTTCGGTCGTGTTGTTCACATGTGACACCTAGTTTAAAATTACTGAATAAGTTCGTCACATGCAGTGGCGTAGGAAGACTGGCTAGCGCCCCTGGCAAACTTAGAAAAAGTTACCTTTCTAACCAATTAAAATGTAATGTCATAATATTTTTTTAACCTTTAATTTTACTAATATTTTTAAGTATACAATTTATACTTAGTTTTATTATTAGTGTTAATTTTAAACTTTGAAAATTTGTTTTTCTCATTTTATGACTGGCAAATTCATCGATAATTTTTTCATATGAAATTTTTTATTTAAATATCCTATTTTCATAATTTCATTATTAAATTTACACGTAGTGTGTACAATTAGACAACATCTACGTATTTAATAAAGTATAATGGAAAAATGTCGATTTAATTGTAGGATAAAAACACGACTTTGCATAATTTTGCACCCTTGACGTAGGCACAGTTTGCCATACCCTTGCTACGCCATTGGTCACATGTGCTTTCGGTCGTACAAAATGGTCATAATGTTTATAACCGTTGGATATGTGTTGAACCTTCGAATGATTTTCAAAATAAATATGTGATCCTATTGAGATACTAAACCGAGAAACGCCGAGACATACGGACCGGTGTTAGATAACACGAGGTTAAAAAATCGAAAGTAAATCAATGAATATTTAAGCTCGACGACGCATGCGAGTATAATACTGACCACGATGAAAACTTACTATCCGATAGCCGAATGATAATTGGAAATGACGGTGCGTGCGGTTATTGCGTTTACATATTAGTTATTGGTCGGTTCGGTGTATTATATTTCATACAGGTTTAACACGTTACGGATAGTGATTTTTGGTTATTTTTAATAGCATCTGTATAATGTTAGATTTTTTTCGACACGAGTTACAACCCTAATCGATGTGGCTATTGTAACAAATAATATTTCATACTTGTTAACTGTTTGTATTTATTTAAAACGATTTTCCAATGATATTCCATGTATCGGTGGGTTATTTTAATTCTACCAAATAGAAAAAAAAAAGAAGGAAATTTTGTACCGTACAATAAAGAATCTATTATTACGTAATGGGAAATTATTGTGACATTCAGATAAACATTTAGCTTACCAACAGACAAAAGCCCCACGTGTGGGCTTAATATTTTTACATTGGCCTTTACGTGCACATTTTTAGTACACCTTCACGATAACATATACGATGCATACTGATATTAATAAAATTTCATTTCTTATAATGTTTTTCGTTTTCTTGAAACGTTTTCAAGTTTTTCGATGTTAAACTCATTACCTTTTATTTATTATTGTTGGTTACTACAACACGTGATCGTCTACATTTCATTCGATTTCGTATAAATGTTATACAAAATCACAACCGTATGAATGTAGCAATACCCTATAGCAGTGCTTGCCAAATTTTTACGACTCACGGTACTCTTTTTGATCTAAGGTTTTTTCAAAGCACCCTTCCCCAAGTTGTGACATGAATAAGGAAAATTTAAGACCAAATAGTATTTCATTACGGTGCGGCGTCCTTGCATAGGCATCGTGGCGCACCAACGGCTCCGTTGCACACACTTTGGGAACCGCTGCCCTACAGCAATATTCCATACTGACGTCAAGAAAAATCGACAAATATAATTTTAATTAATGTGCATTTTTCCAGTATCCTCGTTGATTTATTGAGCACGCGTGCGTTGCTTATTTCAAGTACATCTAACCGTTAATCTTTATTGTAATGGTTGACACAGACCAATAAGCATTTTATTATATTATTATTACTGGATCATTTATTGTACAATACACCGATTATTGTACATACTATATAAGTGTATAGAAATAAAATTATATATTTAATATGTCCCGAGGAAACGTTGAGTAATAATACCCGGGTATTGTCTTTAGTACTAAGTTGCTTAACGTCGCTGTATCACCTTACGATGATATATTATTAACGTAAACGTGTCGGCAGCGTATTTTATAATAATATTATTATCATAAATGTATAACCGTGTTAACCGTGTCGATCGCTCGCGTTTTGAAAATGGAAATTACGTGGTTGGACATTATAGGGGCACATACTATCATCACGTCAAATGACGTCCGATAAGGTTTCGTTTTTATTACGCGGCTGATGTATAAATTCATGTTAATAAATTTACGTTCTTCGTAATAGCAAAATAATAATTACAACTTTTAAAAACACAAGTATACATACTCTAATTAATTATTGTTACAAATTTGTATTCGAATCATATAAAATAATAATAATAATAATAATAATAATAATATTTTTGAACAATATGTCAGTCGTAAGTCACATATAATTTTCAATAGGTATCGTAATCAATTGTTCTTTGAACGGCAGATTAACCCTAACCCTCAGTGGCGTATACAGAAAATA